CTTTACCACCCCAATCCACAACTCCCCAGTAAATGTAAAGCTGCTAGTTAATCAAATCCCCAGTGTTTGGGGGATTAAATAAAGACTATAAATAAAGGACTTTGGTGCTGATTCTCCTACACAGGATTCTTGTCTAACATCCTTTTCCACAGGCTCCACCTCATGAGTGAGGCGGTATCTCCTTATAAAACCATTTATAATGCATAAAACCTGATGTTTTATCTCCAATACGCTCACAGTGCAAGAGTTTTAAGGTAAACAAGGTTTCCATTAAAAAAGATAAAACCCACCTAGTCAGAACTGCAGGTTTAAGGAGCTACTCCCCTCTTTGGGAGAAAAAAAAAAAAACTACACAGGCATAAAACCCCCCAGCTTTTAAAAGGTTATTTCCAACACACCTTTACTTTCCAGGTGTTGATCTATTTTGACAGAGCCAGAAAATCCAGCTTCTATAAGGCAATGCTCGATGAGAGTGGCCCCATAAGCTGTTAAAAGAAAATACTGAAGGATCATACTGTAGGAATCATTTCCAGTGAAAGTTGCATTTAAATTTAATTTTAAAGAGTGTTTCAACAATCTAAGGCTATTTAAAGATGCTGTTTTGGAGTGGTTCAGAACTTCTTAAACAGTATTCCAGAGAAATCCAAGGATGGCTGCCAGGACTAAACATCGGGATAAGAGAAACTGTTAAAAGCAAGAAGTTATCTGAAGTTGTGTCCCTTGAGGAAAACAGGAGACCAAATTCTAAAAGACAGAAACAAAATACATCTTTGGAAAATCTGGAAAAAAAAACAACAGGATGAATAATAAAACCTTTTCCAGAGGTATCATAAGCAGGAATGACAGAGCCAGCAGGTTCAAAAAGCAACCAAGGGGCAAAAGGAAAACCTGGCAGGAAAATTAAATTAATGCCTGGAGTTTCATCCACAGTGCAGGGCACTGGGAAGCTCTGGTTGGAACGTTTCTCTGCAGGCAGGGAAACTGGCCTCAAATCCAATCACTGGAAGAGGTGATGGATCCAACAGGCAAAACAAGCAGCAACTCAGAGGGGAGTTTAAAAGAACTCAAGGAGGGAGATGCCTGGTGATGGAACACAACTCATCCAAGCACCAACAGCCAGGTGGGAAGGGCTGGAGGAGATGGAGCAACAACGAGAGCTTGGACAAAAAACTAACACATCAACTCACTGCAAACCAACAGAAAATAAACTCAAATAAAATAATCTCCATATGGAAAGGCCATCCTGTTATATGTATGATCATTTCCAGCTGGGAGCAGGACCTAAATCTAAAATTTCAAACTGCTGGGATTGAGACTCTCCTGGGAAAATCTGACAGGGCTGGAGAGCACCACTGGCCTGAGGTTAAGCCCAGGGAATGAGATGTGAGAAACTGCTGGACACAAAGAGGGCCAAAAATCAGGAGGGGCAGCTGGATTTCATAGGTGGACAAGGAGGAGGGGGGTCAGACAAGGCCTGTCTCTCTGCAGATGGATCGGAGTCAATAAATCTACTCTGTTTCCCAAGGCTTAGAGGTTTTGTTGGTTTTCAAATATATATAAAAGCAGATTGCCATGAAAAACACCAAATAAAATAAAGGACTGCTTGAGCTGGAGAGGGACTTTGGACAAGGGCCTGGAAGGACAGGACAACAGGGAATGGCTTCCCACTGCCAGAGGGCAGGGTTAGATGGGACATTGTGAAGGAATTTCTGGCTGGGAGGGTGGGCAGGCCCTGGCACAGGTTGGGCAGAGAAGCTGTGGCTGCCCCTGGATCCCTGGAAGTGTCCAAGGCCAGGTTGGACAGGGCTTGGAGCAACCTGAGCTGGTGGAAGGTGTCCCTGCCCATGGCAGGGGGTGACACTGGATGATCTTTAAGGTCCTTCCCACTGGAAGGATTGTGGGATTCTGTGATTCCACGGGAAGTCATTCACATTTTCAGCATGATCTGAACACAGTGGATGTTTACTGAGCTGCTTTAATTTCCTAATAAAGCCCAGTTACTTACGAAGCAGGGGGTTAAGAACCCTCTTCAGCTGTTCCCCTTTGGGTGCATTTGCTATTATCTCCGTTAACCTGTGAAAGAAAATGGAGAGTTGCAATTCCGTGGAACCACGTGCTTTAAACTCACCTGGCGCTACTTAGAAGCTACAAAACATTTTCAGTCTTAAGAAAAGAAATTAAAAACACAAGGAAGTCGGGCTCATCCCAACAAACACCCCACGGCAAAGCAAGTACCTGTCCAGGGTGGGCAGGGGGGCAGCAGCTTTGGCGCTGTCCACGGGGTACCGTTCCCTCACGGCGAACCTGACGTCGTCCGCCTCGTCCGTGCGGAACCTCAGGATGTTCAGGATGGTGTACTCGTGGTCCGTGAGGACAACGTTCCCCTGGGAGCACAGGGGCCATCAGCACAGCCACAGCTCCCAGAGGACACCCCTGGAGCACGGCACTCACCCTGTCGTACAGCTCCACGATCAGGTGGTAGGCGGCTTCGTCGCTCCCGAACTGGAAGTCGACGATCCTGTCGATGCCCAGCTGGGTCACACTCACCAGCCTCCTGGTCTTCAGGTGCTTCCGGCACTGCCAGGGACGGGAGAAAGGTCTGTGAGGTGGAAATGCCCTCCTGGGACACACCAACCTCTTCCTATTCAATTAAAATATCCTAACAGTAGAAATATCGGTGCTTAGCAAAACGCCTTGATGTTTATAAACAACGTGATTGTTCCCGGTTTTAACATTAACACATCTTTTCCATTAAAACCGGCTGCTTGGTTAGCCCAAGGGAGCAGCCAGTGGAAATTCAAAGGGTTTATTTTCCAAGGGAGAACTGGGATTATCCCTGCATCCACCACAGAGAGTCTTTGCTGAGTCACTCCCATGGGGCGGCACCCAGAGGATAAGCAGGTCCACGTGAGCCAGTGCCCAGGTGTATCCCTGTGGATCCACCTGCAGGAACCCAGCCCAGGAGCAAGAGCTGGACTCCCCAAAAGCCCAGCAGACTGAACAGCAGGAATCTCTAACGCAGGGTGCTGCTTAACAGCAGACAGTCCAACTGGAACGACAAGGAATTTGCTGGAGCAAAATTCCCAAAAGGTCTGGGTGGCCCAGAAAACATCCAGATTGGTATTAATTTTGAATAAATTTAAGCATTCGCTGTTTTAGGCACTCAATGACAATGACATGATCCCAAGCCCACGCTTGCTCTTCCCTTGTCCTCGGTCACCCACCAGGTCAGGATTCACCAGGCAAATCCTTCCACTGTTTTCCTGTCTCCAAATACAGAATATGAACATTCCTGACACCCAGTCACGCCGCCAGAGCGGGAGCTGCAGGTGATTTACCTTCATGGCAAAGCTGGATGGCATCATGTTCTTGGGCCACTCGAACTCGGTCAGGTGGATGCGAATGCCGGACTCCAGCAGCAGCGTGGCCTTGCAGTCCGGCCTGGGGACACAACACAGCAGCTGGACCCCAAAATCCTCGGGGATCCCTCCCAGCTGAGGATGTTCTGCCATTCCAAGGCACACGAGCAGCCACCTCTCACCACCCACCCGTTTGCAGAGGGTTTTTCTGCAGTGTTTCACACTCCACATTCCCAACAACTTTTTGGAGTAAAAATCACTGCATTTTATCAAAAAAATCCAGCAGAATTTCACTGAAAACTGGTCAGAAAATCCACAGGAATTACTGCATTTTATACACATACAGTAACAGCAATTAAAAGAACTTGTAAACACAGAAATCCCAGGTCCTTACTTTTGCAGGCGAATAAGATACGTCTTGTTATCCACATCATAAACGTTGTTGACCCTCATTCCCAGCAAGCTGCCAAAGGGAAAACACAGAACCCTTTGGAGAGTCTGATACACAAGTGGCTGAAAAATTCCCAGGGGGAATTAAAATACAAAGAAGGGCAAGTCATGATAAATTAGGAGGCAGAAGCCAGAGAGGGAGCAAAGGAAGATTAATGGAATGAGCTGGAGGCAAAAACCACGGAGAAATGGCTATTAGGAGACAGAAATTAAGAGAGGGACAAAATTAGGAGATGGAGGAATTGCTATTAATGGATAAAAAGCTGAACAAGTCACTTTGTTCCAAGTGGGGCTGGATGTGCAGGTTGTCCTGGACACCAGAAATGTGTCAGAGCTCCAGGGGGATGTAAGAAGCAGCAGAGATTCCCAGCTGGCTGGGAATTGTTCAGCCTGGAGAAGAGAAGGATCCAGGGAGACCTGAGAGCCTCTTCCAGGGCCTAAAGGGGTTCCAGGAGAGCTGGAGAGGGGCTGGGGACAAGGCATGGAGGGACAGGACAAAGGCGAGTGGCTTCAAACTGCCAGAGGGCAGGGATAGGTGGGATACTGGGAAGGAATTCCTGGCTAGGAGGGTGGGGAGGGGCTGGAATGGAATTCCCAGAGAAGCTGTGGCTGCCCCTGGATCCTTGGAAGTGTCCAAGGCCGGGCTGGACGGAGCTTGGAGCAACCTTGGATAGTGGGAAATGTCGCTGCCCACGGCAGGGGTGGAATGGGATGGCAGAGCAGGTGAGGGGGATGCAGAGCTCAGGCAGGGCTGGGCTTGGGGGCAGGGCTGTGCACGCAGCACACGATGGGGGGCTCAGCCCCGGGGGCAGGGACAGGAACAGGAGCAGGACCGGGACCAGGACCGGGACAGGGAGCAGAGTCAGGACCAGGACCAGAATCAGTGCCGGGACTCCCCGGGCCGGGCCCCGCTCGGGGGGTGGCGGTACCTCTGCCGCAGCTCGGCGAGCACCGCGCGGATGTCGACGGTGCTGAAGCGGGACTTCATGGCGCCGCCGCCGCCCCCCGCCGGGATGGATCCCGGTCCGGCACAGACAGATCCCGGTCCGGCACAGACAGATCCCGGTTCCCGATCCCACACACAATTCCCGGCCCTCGGCGCTTCCCCCCGGGGGCCGCCCCGCGCCTGCGCCGCACACGCGCTACGGGTCGCGCCCGCCGCCAATTCCCGTCGCTCCGCGGCCGCCGCGCGCGGGCCGGGCCGTTACCCGCGCGCGCGCCCGGCAGGAGGCGCTGAGCGCGCGGGGCGTGAGGGGGGAACGGCGGGCCCGGGTGGGATAAAGGGACACACAGCGTGGGATAAAAGGGTCCAGTGGGATAAAAGGGCCCCCGGCGCGAGATAAAAGGATCCACAATGTGTGATTAGGGGTCCCACGGGCGGCAAAAGGGTGCAGTGTGTGTGACAGAAGGATCCCCCCGGGTGTGACTGATGGGTCCCTCGCGTGTGGCGGGGGGGGGGGGGGGCGGCAAAGGGATCTCTCTGTGATGCCCAGGAAAAGACATCCCACGGGTGTCCGTGCCGGGACAGCAAAAGGATCCCGTGTGCGGGGGCGTGTGTGTTGCCCAGGCAAAGGGATCCCACGCGTGTCCGTGCCTGGACGACAAAAGGAAAAAGATTCGGGTTTGGCGATTGGCGTGGCGCTGTGAATTTTTCCCCGAGCGCTGTGGCTGCGGTGCCGCGCGGGCCCAGGAGGAGGCGCTGTGTTTGGGGGTCAAAGGGGGTGTGTTTGGGGTAAAGCGGGGGGTGCGTGTGGGGTAAAAGGGGGTGTGCGGGGCAAAAGGGAGCCCGCGTGTCTCTGTGTTGCCCAGGCTACGCTGCAGGGCCTGTTCACAGGCGCGATCCCGCTACTGACCGCCACGGGAGCTTTGACCTGCTCCGTCTCCGACCTGGGCCGGTTCACCCCTCCTTAGTCAACCTGGTGTCCCGCAGCTCCCCGCGGGTCACCATATTGATGGCGGCCTTAGC